TCTGCTGCTCTGCTGGCTGACGCTGCCTCCCAGTCTGATAAAGGGGTGCAAAGGGGCTAATGGAGGTTGTGTTAATCCCTCAGGAGGACTGTGGTGGATAAAGTCAGGACCCACCATGGGGGGCACAGGGTCTCCTTCCTCCTTGCTTCCCAGCCCCCAAATGCCGGGGTTTGGGGCCAAGGAGTGGGGCTGGGGGGGTTGTGGAGGTGCCATCACTTCAGGGGGGTCGTGAGGTGTGGCAGGTGGGGGTTTCATCTGGACATCCATTGTGTTTCCCTCCGAGTCCTGAGGGGATACTAGAAATTCCCTCAGACCTTGGTCAACCTTGAGATTTCCTGTCAGTTTTCCCCAGAAACAACAAATGGGACAGAGGAGTCTCTTAGGGAATCCTGGAGAGTTTCTGTGGACAAGAGGGCAGACATTTTTCCCCCTCACAACACGCAGGGACATTTGTGAGGAACCTGGTCAGAGACAAGGGAGTCTCACTCCGCCTGAGGTGTTTCCCGCTCTTTTCTCCTGAGGGAACCCAAACATGAGGAGAAAATGGCTTCCCTGTGGAAACTGGCATCCTTCCCTCCCCAGGGCCTGAAGGGTCAAGGAAGGGATGCCCAGGGGGGCAACAGACTCCATGTTCCCTCCTCCAAGGGGCCCAATGTCAGATAAATGGAGGAACAGAAAATTCCCTCAGATGTTTGAGTCACATGAGGATTCAAAATATGTTTTTTCCCTCCCCCTGAAGTTTGTGGAAACACTGGAGAAGGCATTTGGCTCTCCTGAATAGCTAGTTTGAAATCAAATTCATAATGGAATCACCTCAGGAGACCATGCGGTGTGTGGAGGGTTTTCCCAAGGAAAATGGCACCCAAAGTAGTCCCCTTTGATGGCTGACACACAGACTGGATTGAAACAGACGTTTCTTTCTTGTATTAGGATGTTTGTGTGGTAAACCACCTTGGGGTGTTGAATGGTACATCAAAAGGCCTTAAACAAGTCAATAACCCAAAGGTGGGGAAGTGCTAGAGGTATGACTGAAGGTCACCTTCTTTCAGGTGAAGTTGTGTGGAAATGGGCAGATCAGCCCTTTTTCTTACACCCAGGATTGTCAAGGGTGGTGCTACTTGAATGTTGACATCTAAATGAAATAAGCTAGTTTATGTGATAAAATGATACTCTACTGTACTCAGAATATTAAATTTCCTATTTGCTCAATAAGCAAGGGTTAAGGCACACAGAATCTCCTGTAAAAACCCTAGAAAGCATTCTGTCTGGTCATATTCTCTGTTTCCACAGGGCAGGATGAGAACAATAGGAACATACTCTTTAATACTTCCTTCCTCTCCAAAGCCCAACTCTCTTTCCACCATGTGTCCAAGGTGACCAGATTTACATGGCTAAAGCTCCTTCTTTCAGCCATCTTAGCTATGCCTACCACCTTTTAAAGGTAAAGGGACCCCTGACCGTTAGGTCCAGTTGTGACCGACTCTGGGGTTGCGGCGCTCATCTCGCTTTATTGGCCGAGGGAGCCGGCGTACAGCTTCTGGGTCATGTGGCCAGCATGACTAAGCCGCTTCTGGCAAACCAGAGGAGCGCACGGAAACGCTGTTTACCTTCCCGCTGGAACGGTTCCTATTTGTCTACTTGCACTTTGACGTGCTCTCGAACTGCTAGGTTGGCAGGAGCAGGGACCAAGCAACAGGAGCTCACCCCGTCGCGGGGATTCGAACCACCGACCTTCTGATCAGCGAGCACTAGGCTCTGTGGTTTAGACCACAGCGCCACCCACATCCCCTACCACCTTTTATGTTAATGTAATTTAGCAGTTTTAGTCAGTGTACTATTTTATGCTGTGTATGCTGCCTCCAATAAATATAAGTAAACTTTTTTTTGTTTTGTTTATCTTACTGTAAATGTGTGGTTCATTCTCTGCAACGTGGGATAAAGAGGAGGTCATCTGACCCCAAGATTAACTCCTAAACTTCAGTTTAGGAATTAAATGTTTTGCATGCATGTAAGTATGTATGCAAAACATTTAATTCCTAAACTGAAGTGCATACATAACTTTGATTCATAAGCATGCTAGAGATCCAGAGCTGGTTAAGAACTACCAACCTATTTCTTTGTTGAATAACGATTATTAACAGTTTGCAGACGTATTAGCTAATAAATTGAAAACTGTATTAAAAGAGGTAATCCATCAAGATCAGGTTGGATTTTTGCCGGGAAGACAAATGAAAGATAATGTTAGAAACATAATTAATGTAGTAGAATATTTAGAAGTGAGCACAGAAAGACAAGCAGTTTAATTTTTTTTAGACACCATGAAAGCATTTGACAATGTCTCCTGGGACTTTATGTTTAAGGTTTTGGAATATATGGGTTGTGGAGACATTTTATAAAAGGAGTTAAGGAAATATATACTGAACAAGCAGCAAAATAATGTACTTATTGAGAATTGTAAAATAACCAAAGGAACAAGACAAGGTTGCCCACTGTCACCTTTATTGTTTATAATAGTTTTAGAAGTTTTGGCACAAAAAATAAAATGTAATCAAGAAATTAAAGGAATAAGGGTGGAACAGACAAAATATAAATTAATAGCTTCTGCAGACCATGTGGTGATATCTGTAGAAGAACCAATAAAGTCAATCCCGAAAACACTAAAATAAATATTTTGAGGGGGAGAAATAGGCCTTAAGATTAATAAAGATAAAACCAAACTCCTGGAAAAAATATGAATGATGAGAGTAAAAATAAACTGCAAAGTTTATCAGGCTTAAAGATTGAAAAGACGATTAAATATATGGGTAGGTAAAGGTAAAGGGACCCCTGACCATTAGGTCCAGTCGTGACTGACTCTGGGGTTGCGGCGCTCATCTCGCTTTACTGGCCGAGGGAGCCGGCGTACAGCTTCCGGGTCATGTGGCCAGCATGACTAAGCTGCTTCTGGCGAACCAGAGCAGCACACGGAAACGCCGTTTACCTTCCCGCCGGAGCGGGACCTATTTATCTATTTGCACTTTGACGTGCTTTCGAACTGCTAGGTTGGCAGGAGCAGAGACCGAGCAAGGGGAGCTCACCCTGTCACGGGGATTCGAACCTTCTGATCAGCAAGCCCTAGGCTCTGTGGTTTAACCCGCAGTGCCACCCGCGTCCCTGGACAGTAACTTACGGCAACCATAAAGCGCAGTCCAGTGTGTCATTACGGGGGCCTCTTTTAAATAGGGGCTGGTGTTTGAACTTGGGCTTTGCTAATGTTACGGAATTGGCGGGGGGGGGCACTTGTGTGAGAGCAGGTATCTTTGGCCGTCTCCCCCTTCCTTGCTTGCCCCTTCTGCGTTCCCATGGCATGTCCAGCCGAATTCGACTATGGCGTGTGGTACATATCTCCGCCTCCAGACGGATGGAGCCAGGCAGCTTTCTGGGTCATGTGCCCAACTTTTCATGAGCTGATATTAAATCCCAAAAGAACTACAGCTGCTTGTTACAAAGGGTGGGGGCTGATTCGGGTAGGTTAATGATATTAACTCTTTCCATGCTCATTTCTGATGCTCAGAAGCAGGTGCACCCTTTCCTAGACCTTCCTGATGACATTCTCAGTCTGACAAACAGCATTTACACAGAAACACGGATCAAACATGAAAAACCCTTTACATAACTCCCTTTCTAAAATTCAAGGAGACCATCTTATAACATATTCCCGCTATAACACACAAATGCTAATTAAATCCTAATATTTACTATGCCTAAACATCAAGCACCACGAACTGCTAGGTTGGCAGGAGCAGGGACCGAGCAACAGGAGCTCACCCTGTCGTGGAGATTCGAACCACCAACCTTCTGATCAGCGAGTCCTAGGCTCTGTGGTTTAACCTACATCGCCACCCGCGCCCTCATTTGAGTTAACAGCAAAGAAGATACATTTGTATAAAGAAGATTATTTGAAAACCTAGGAGGATAATAACATAAATTTGCAAATGTGGAGTAGAATGAAACTTTCATTACTGGGTAGTGTGTCAATTATTAAAATGAATGTATTACCAATGGAGTTATTTTTGTTTCAATCAATACCAGTGATCAGCAAGACAGGTTGTTTCAACAAATGGCAAAAAGATATTTCTAAATATATCTGGCAAGTGAAAAAACCCAGAATAAAATATAAAATATTGATGGAAGCAAAAGAGAGACGAGGGTTTTCCCTGCCAGATATGAGATTATATTATGAAGCATTTTGTCTGTGCTGGATGAAGGAATGGTTGTTCAATGATACATTGGGCAATACATATTGGCCATAATATAGAAATTGATGCATTTATGGAATATGGATATAAAATTTACAGCATGTTATAGTCTAAGGGAAAACTATATGAATATGCTATATAAATGGTATCTAAGTAGACTGGAAAAAATGTATAAATTCAAATCACAGATGTGTTGGAAATGTAAAGAGAAAGAAGGTACCTTTTTCATATGTGGTGGTCTTGTAATAAGGTTAAAGCTTACTGGGAAATGATATATAATGAACTGAAAAAGATGTTTAAGATAACATCTATTAAAAAACCATAAGCTTTTTTTTTTTGCAATTATGGGATCAGGACTACCTAAACAGTATAGAAATTTATTTATGTATCCAACCATAGATATAAGAATGTTAAAGGTAAAGGGTAAAGGGACCCCTGACCATTAGGTCCAGTTGTGGCCGACTCTGGGGTTGCGGAGCTCATTTCGCTTTATTGGCCGAGGGAGCCGGCGTACAGCTTCCGGGTCATGTGGCCAGCATGACTAAGCCGCTTCTGGCGAACCAGAGCAGCGCACGGAAACACCGTTTACCTTCCTGCCGGAGCGGGACCTATTTATCTACTTGCACTTTGACATGCTTTTGAACTGCTAGGTTGGCAGGAACAGGGACTGAGCAATGGGAGCAATGGGAGTTATAACACTTGTAAATTATGATTGAATAATTGTTGTACTATACTTTAAAAAAGGACTTAAATGTTTTGCAGTCAGTAATGTTTTGCAGTACTCTGCTCAAAGGCTTCAGAGCCAGAGATGCTTTTGAATTTCTCCCTCATATCTTGAACAGGAGGTTTAGGTCTTAATCTACAGATTTAAACCTCAGGCCATCTCCATAATAGGTGAGGCTCCATTTGAGACACCCAGAGGGACCTCCTAGGAGTGGAGAAGGAACAGAACCCTCCCCAGAACTTCTGCCTAAGAACAAGAGGGGAACCTGGAGCCCAGTCCAGCCCCACACCCAACCCTCCCTCTCCCCCTGGCACCCCACCCTCACCTTTCTTGTTCTTCAGGTAAAGGGCGAGTCCAGTGGCCCCAAAGACCAGCCCCAGCACAATCCCCACAATCCCCGTCCACAGCTTGCTCCTGGCAGAGTCCGACTGTGGCTCTGAAGGAAGAGAAAGCACTGAGTGAGGAAAGGCAGGCCTGGGATCAGCCCCCTGAGGGGGGAGCAACCCACATAGCCCCCCAGGAATGCCCCCCCACTCCCAGTAGGAAGGCGTCCTACCCCATTTCACCGTGACGGGGCCTTCAAAGCTGGCGTGCTCCACCTGGCAGGTGTAGACGTCTCCACGTTCTGGCTTTGTCTCCAGCACCACCTCAATATGGAAGGTCCAGTTCCCGTTCCGGATGAGGTCCGTGGTCCACACTTTGGGCTCCTCCTTCCCGTTCCTGAACCACTTGATCTTGATCCCCGCAGGGAAGAAGCGGTTCACGGTGCAAATCAGCAGAGTGTTGTGTGGTGAAGATTCAATGTTGTCTGTGGGGGTGATCTTCACCTTGGGCTGGACTGTGGGAGGGAGGCAAGGGAGATGTGGAAGGAAGGTCAGAGATTTAGGCAGGGAGGGACCTGGAGGCTTCAAGGGAAGGAGGACAGGTTAAGGAGGGACTTTCTCCCACCATCCCAGTGGACAATCCAGAACTATAGTTAAGGGGAGGGGCTAGCCAGGGTCTCAGTCCTGTGTCAAGCCTCTAGAGGGGCACCATTCAGGCTCCCAGCTTTCTGGGGCTTTCTTCGACATGAGTGCCAGAGGGCATGGAAACACCGTTTACCTTCCCACCACAGCGGTTCCTATTTATCTACTTGCACTGGCATGCTTTCGAACTGCTGGGTTGGCAGGAGCTGGGACAGAGCAATGGGAGCTCACCCAGTCACAGGGATTCAAACCGCCGACCATCTGATCAGCAAGCCCTAGAGGCTCAGTGGTTTAGACCACAGCACCACCCAAGACCCCTGCTTCTTCCAGTACACTGGTATTAGTTCACCTATCTTCCCAAGTGATGTGTAAAAATTTTCGGAGACACAATTGATGGAATCTTTCGAGGAGTTGGAGATGGCGTTTATAAGTGGTCCATGTTTCACAAGCATACAGTAAAGTTGGTAGTACAATAGCTTTGTAAACAAGCATTTTGGTTTCCTTGTGAATGTCCCAGTCCTCAAACACTCTGCACTTCAATTGGGAGAAAGCCGCACTCGCAGATCTCAGGCGATGCTGGATTTTGGCATCAATGATAGAAAGATAACTGCCTAGGTAGGAGAAGTGATCGACATTTTCCAATGTTACACCATTGAGTTGGATTTGTGGTGCTGCAGAGGGGTTAGTTTATACTTGTTGGTGAAGCACTTTGGTTTTTTTGTTGAGCGATAGGCCAAGCTTTTCGTAAACTTCTGTGAAGAGCTTTCTATCTATTTGATATATGATTTCTACTCCGGTGGGGAGTTTCCCTTTGACAAATTGTAGGATCATGGCAATGAAAGTAATGAATAGAGTTGGGGCAGTAGCACCTGTTTAACACCTGACCCCACTGTGAATGGTTCACTTTGAGACCCATTGTTATCTGTGGTTGTTGCTGTCATATTATCAGGGAGGAGCCAAATGATGTTCACACATTTATCTGGGCAGCCAATTTTCAGGACAGTCCACAGGGCATTATGATTTACAGTGTCAAAGGCCTTAGTCAGGACAATAAACACCATATACAGGGGTTGGTTTTGCTCTCTGCATTTTTCTTGAAGCTGTCGAGCGGTGAAAATCATGTCCACTGTCCCCCAAGAAGGCCAAAAACCATTTTGGGATTCAGGAAGGGTCACCTCGGATATTGTTAAGAGACGGTGTGCTAAGATTATTATTATTATTATTATTATTATTATTATTATTATTATTATTATTGTCATAATATTTATTTTTTCGGCCCACGGACAGTCAATCAATACTACGCGCCCAGCCCCCAACTTTCCACTCCTACCAGTGGATCTCTGACACCCCCCCATGTACCCAGAGTCAGCCCAGTTTCCCCAGTGTCAGACTGGGCATTCCACAATCTGGGAACTCCTCCTCCCTGGGGGTTCCTGGGATGCCCCTCCCCTTCCTAGGACACTTTCCATCCTTCTGTCTCATTTCCCAGTCCTGGGAATCTCAGGAGTTTGTCCTTCCTATTTTCCTGGCAAACAGGATGCTATTGAGAATTCACTGCACAGTATCCTTCACTTACAGTAGTAATTATTATTATTATTATTATTATTATTATTATTATTATTATTATTATTAATACCCGCCCTCCCCAGCCAAGGCCAGGCTCAGAGTGGCTTACAAGAAATAATAAAAAGTTGAATGATTACAACTTAAAAACAAAATTAAAATACAACATTAAAATATTGAAACATTAAAATATTAAAATGTAGCCTCATCGCAGGAGGAGAAGGAAAGGAAAAAAGAAAGAGAGGGAGGGAATCAAATTGGCTCCAAGCCAAAGGCCAGGCAGAATAACTCTGTCTTACAGGCCCTGCGGAAAGAAATCAGATCCTGCAGGACCCTGGTCTCATGAGACAGAGCGTTCCACCAGGCCGGGGCCAGAGTTGAAAAGGCCCTGGCTCTGTTTGAAGCTAATCTAACTTCCTTAGGGCCCAGGACCACTAGGGTGTTGCTATTTATGGACCTTGAGGCTCTCCGTGGGGCATACCGGGAGAGGCGGTCCCATAGGTACGAGGGTCCTAGGCCACGAAGGGCTTTAAAGGTCAAAAGCAGCACCTTAAATCTGACCCTGTACTCTACCGGGAGCCAGTGCAGCTGGAAAAGCACTGGGTGAATATGCTCCCATGGCAGAGACCCCGTGAGGAGCCTCGCTGCAGCATTCTGCACCCTCTGGAGTTTCTGGGTCAGCTTCAAGGGCAGCCCCGCGTAGAGCGAATTACAGTAGTCAAGCCTGGAGATGACCGTCGCATGGATCACTGTGGCCAGGTCGGGGCGGTAAAGGTAAGGGACCAACTGCTTGATGCGGCGAAGGTGGAAAAATGTCGCCTTGGCTGTTGCTGTAACTTGTGCCTCCATGGAAAGGGAGGCGTCAAGGATTACACCCAAACTCTTAACGGAAGGCAATGGCACTAATTGGGCCCCCGCAAGAGAAGGGAGTTGGTCCCTCATCCCCATGCCATCCCGACCCAGCCATAGGACCTCTGTCTTCGAAGCATTTAGTTTCAATCAGCTCACACGAAACCATCCAGCCACAGCTTCCAAGCATCTGGTCAGTGTGTTGGGGCCGAGTCGGTGTGGCCATCCATCAGCAGATAGAGCTGAGTGTCATCAGCATATTGATGACAGCCCAGCCCAAAGCTCCGGATAATCTGGGCAAGGGGGCGCATAAAGATGTTAAAAAGCATCGGAGAGAGAATTGCGCCCTGCGGCACTCCACACACCAAGGAATGGCACGACAACATTTCCCTCCCTAGTGCCACCCTCTGTCCCCGAACAGAGATAAAAGAGCACAGCCAGTTACGGGCTATGCCATGTATCCCCACGTCTGCGAGGCGGTGATCCAGAAGATCATGATCGACCATGTCAATGGCTGCTGACAAATCTAAAAGTCCTGACCCACCTCGATCCAGTTGCCTACGGAGATCATCTGTTAGGGCAACGAGAGCCGTCTCGGTCCCAAAACCAGGACGGAAACCGGACTGAAATGGACCTAAAGCTGATCAATACAATGATCAAATCAGTACAATGGTCTACTCAGTGTTTCCCAAACTTGGGTTGCCAACTCTCTTTGGACTACAATTCGCATCGTCCCCGACCACTGGTCCTGCTCGCTAGGGATGATGGGAATTGCACAAAGACAGCTGAGGTTCTTGTGCCTTATAGAGCTGAGTGGAAGGCAGAAATTCAACAGGTTAAGCCCTTTTTCTCCTGTAGAAATGCAATTATTGGGAAAGCTTCACCTGTCAGACATTTGTGTGTGTTTGAGCATGAGAGAGAGAGAGAGAGAGAGAGAGAGAGAGAGAGACCACCAATTTATTTTTGGGCCCTTCACTCCAACTGAAAAACAGCACATCAATTTGTGTATGCTATACAGCAGATGTTATGCAAATCCACACACACACAACCCACCCAGCACCAAGTGATTATAGTAATTTTCTTTTCAATATACTTTTGATGTAGAGATGATACCTGGAGAATGGGGGGGTGGGGGGGGGAAGCCTGATAGTTGAAAATAGTAATGAGTAGGTGGGAGGGAAATGGACTGTGTTTATAATTATTATTATTATTTAACCCTGTATGTATTTGATTTTGAGATTGTGGGGTTAATTTCTAACCCTAAATTAGGGTTGCCATATTCCCCCATTCATACCAAGTTGCGCTTTCGGGTGGGGCTGTTGAGCTTTGGGGGGAACATATCCTGCTTTAGGCTTTTTTGGATTTTAAAAGCAATTTTTAAAATTGCCCTACTTGCCATATGTCTGACTTTTTTCCATCCGGCAACCCCTCAAACATTCCCAATTCTCCTGGTGTATGTAGGGAAACCGGGACGTATGGCAGCTCTGCCTGAATCCATGTCAGGTGTGCAAGAAACTTGCTAAGGTGACTCAATTAATAACTGAGTAATGTCCAAATAACATCATTTTGTACCTAAAAAATGCTCAGGGTTTTGGTTTGAAATGCGCTCTCTCTTCTCCCCATGAAAGGCTGCCTATTCCCCCTTGCAGCCCCCCACTCTAATGTAGCCTTGAGGCTCCCTGGGTGTCCCTGGGCAGCCCCTGACCCTCAGCCCGGCCTCCCTCATGCCCCCTCCCCGATTCTGGACTCACCGCGCCGGGCCTGGGAGAATGGCTCGTAGATCCCGTAGTAGTACCGGCAAATGTCCACGACGGCCATCCAGTTCCGCAGGAAGACCTTGTCCTGGTTCCATCTCTTGACGTCGGACTCCATCATTTCAGCCACCGCCACCACCTTCCCTCGGTCGCTGTCGAAGCAGAAGAGCTCCTGCCGGTCGAAGAAGTGCCTATCGATGAGGCGGACCTGCTGCGTCCCGTTGAAGAAGTGGCACTCGCCCTTCGCCTGGTACAGGAAATGCTCTGAGGGGGGGGAGAGAATGAAAATGGGGGAGTCAAGAAGGGTGAGCTGGGGGGAGAGCAAGAACTTCAGGGGGAGGGAGGCAGAGAGATGGTCTATCTGTCTCACGTTCTCTCTCTCGTGTCACATGATCCCATGGCCGGGGTGTGTGTGCGTGTGCGGCGGAGGCTGAGCAGGGAGACACCCCCTTCTCCTCCTCTCAAAGGAAAGGGAGAGACTGGCAGGAAGGCCGTTGTGCAGGGGGAGCCACAACATCCGAAGCCCTGGCCCCATGGGCATAGCCAGGATTTATGTTGGGGGGGCAGAACTGATCTATCTGCTTTATTTATTTACTTTATTGGGGAGGCAGTTGGAAAGTGCAGTGCTGGTGGTCAACAAAAGAGGTTTAAAGACTTACTCAAGGCAAATCTTTAAAAATGTAGCATAAACACCAACAACTGGGAAACACTGGCCTGCGAGCACTCCAGTTGGAGAACAGCCTTTACCAAAGGTGTCATGGGCTTTGAAGATGCTCAAACTCAGGATGAAAGGGAGAAATGCGCTTGGCAAATCTAAAGAAATGTAGCATAAGCATGGACAATTGGGAAACACTGGCCTTCCAGTTGGAGTACAGCCTTTACCAAAGGTGTCATGTGTGGAAATGTTCAGGAAGGAGGAGAGGATATATTGTTTATTGATATTCTTCCTAACTTGAGCTAGCAACAGATAGGTAGCCGTGTTGGTCTGCCATAGTCAAAATAAAAAAATTCCTTCTAGTAGCACCTTAAAGACCAACTAAGTTAGTTCTTGGTGTGAGCTTTTCGTGTGCATTCAGTGTATCTGAAGAAGTGTGCATGCACACGAAAGCTCATACCAAGAACTAACTTAGTTGGTCTTTAAGGTGCTACTGGAAGGAATTTTTTTATTTTGAGCTAGCAAGTTCTTTTACTTAGCAGAGTTTTACATTCCCCTTTTAAATACACAGAGGATAGCAGGTTGCAGGCTTGTGTAAGCCTCTCACTATTAGGTTCCTGGTAAGTTCCCTTACAGCCCTCTTAAAAGAATAAACACACGACAATCTTATCTAAAGTCAATAAAAGAAGTTTACTCACATCATCAGTTCACAGTTGGATCCCTGAAGGCAGACAGTTACAAAGTATATACGTGTGGATCTATCCCATATGGGGATAATCCCAGTGTCCTCTGTTGGCTGTAAGCCAATAGAACATTTCCAGCTAAAAAGTTGCTACAATGGCAGAGGACATCAGAGAGTGTGTGGCAGCATGCTTGTCCTTTTGTCACCTGGGCAGGTAAGGTCAGGCCTACCTCTAGTCACGTGCAAAGGAAGTATGCCTCAACCAGGAGGAAACAGGAAGGTTTCGACTGGCTGGACCAAGCATTCCCCCACATGTCCACTCTAGGAAAACAAGGAATGTTGTACTTGACTGCTACTTATGTATCACATCCCACATCATGGACTTTGAAGACACTCGAACTCAGGACGGAAAGGGAGAAACTTGCTAAGAGGAAGGCACGCTTGGCAAACCCTCACCTTGATCAACTCCTGCCTGGAAACCCATGTCCCCACTGTGGAAGGACGTGGGGATCCACAATTGGCCTCTCACTTATCGACTCCCTGCTAAGACCGTGTTCAGGGAAGACCAATATAAGAGGGATCACCAAGGAAGCCCCACTGATGGGGGTCCCACTAAGCCGAGTTTCCTCTTCCTTCTTCCCCATTGCAGACTCTTTGCTCACCTGGAGGCTCCTCCATGCCCAGCCCCTCCGAAGCGAAGACCACCAGCATCCCCAGCAGGAGCCCCCAAAAGGCCAAAGGCGCAGTGCCGGAGCCCCCCATCCTTCTACCCTGAAGACTCTGAAATGGGATTTCCTCCACTCAGCCCCTGGAAAAACTCCAGCCCAAGCCCAAGCCCCATCCACTCCACCTCTCCTCCCCGCGAGTGGCCAATCCGCCTCCAAGCCGAGGCAGTGTATTTTGTCGCCAGGCAGGAAACTCTTGGAAATAGCATTATGCTCTGGATAAATCTGGAAGTTCCTCTTTGCCTTTTCCGCTTCTTCTGATGTCTCCATTGTTGTTGCGTCGCGTGTGAATAAACATCTTCCCAGAAGCCCCCTGGAAAACCTATGGGGGGGCTATAAAGTTTAACAAGAATCTGTCAGTTCCTTTTTATAGATATAAGTATTTTTTATTAAGTTTCACAAATAAAATTTCCATCAAAACATTCACCCTTGCACATAGGAAAGAGTAAGGAAGTTTTGTGTGTGTCACCACAGGATCATAAAGGCCATGTCCCCCCAGTGGAAACCAGAGAGCCCCCCTTCTTTGATTTCAAGGGGGAATAACTGTCTGCTGAGGGAGGGGGCTCCCCCCTTCGCCCCCCAGCCTGCATCCCAAGGAGACCTGGCAGCCCCCCAGTAAGGAGACCCCTCCCTCAATAAAAGCCCCCTCCAGCCCCCAGCTCCCCTTTGCAAGAAACATCCCTGGTGCTGGTGTCTGAGGAGCCCCATGCACAAATGCACGGGGGGGGGAGAGATAGAGAGGAGCCCCCGCAGCCCCTTCCCTGGAGGAGACCCCTCCCCTCTTGGGGAGATCCAGCGCTCCCCCAACTCTATTAGCCGCCCTTTACCTGCTGCTGCTCAATCTCTGACTGGGGAAGGTTTACCTGGAGACAGGCTGGTCATTGCCAGGGTGCTTTTTCATTGGCCGAGCTGACAGGGACTTTTCTGCTCCGCCAAAGACCCCCACTGGCTGCCCTCTCCCCCCAGCCACTTGGAAGACAAGCATCCAGGATAAGGTTACCAGAATTTTTTTCAGTGAATCTGGGGTCACGGTTCAACTTCAATGGATTTTGTATGGGGACTGATTTGCAAATCCGTGGACCGTCCCCGGGAAGCGGGGACGTCTGGTAACCTTACTATTTGCCCCTCACTTCCCTCTACAGCACATGCAGAATAGACCCACTATTGGCCTCATCCTCTCAATCCGCTGGAGCCTGTCTTTTTTTTTTTAATATAAAATTTTTATTGGTTTTACAAATTTTTAAAGACAAACAAACAACTAAAAAGACATACAAACACGTATAGTTTCATAACATTTTTTCATAAACCTCTTTTCCAGGACTCCCCCATACCCCCCCTTCCTACATCCCAATGTCCACAATTTTTAAGCAACTTCTAAATATTCCTTTCCAACCTCTGTCATCTTAATCTTTTCTATAATCTAATCTTATGTCACTGTATCCCTTTTTTTTCCTGAAAACCTCGACATTCTAGCATTCATCAAGTTTATAATAGTCCTTAAGATAACTTTTAAATTTTCTCCATTCTTCTTCCGCCGTCTCTTTTCCCTGATCACGGATTCTGCCTGTCATCTCAGCCAATGTCATATAGTCCATCACTTTCATCTGCCACTCTTCCAGAGTGGGTAGATCTTGTGTCTTCCAATACTTTGCGATGAGTATTCTTGCTGCTGTTGTAGCATACATAAAGAAAGTTCTGTCCTTCTTTGACACCAATTGGCCGACAATGCCCAAGAGAAAGGCCTCTGGTTTTTTAAGGAAAGTACATTTAAGTACCTTTTTCATTTCATTATATATCATTTCCCAGAAAGCCTTAATCTTCGGGCATGTCCACCAAAGGTGGTAAAAGGTACCTTCAGTCTCCTTACATTTCCAACACTTGTTATCAGGCAAATGGTAGATCTTTGCTAGCTTGACTGGGGTCATGTACCACCTGTAAGTCATTTTCATAATGTTTTCCTTTAAGGCATTACAAGCCGTGAATTTAATACTGGTGTTCCACAACCACTCCCAGTCAGCAGACATAATATTATGACCAATGTCCTGTGCCCACTTAATCATAGCCGATTTAACTGTTTCATCTTGTGTATTCCATTTCAGCAGCAAGTTATACATTCTTGATAAATTCTTAGTATTGGGTTCTAACAATTCAGTCTCTAATTTTGATTTTTCCACCTGAAAGCCAATTTTCCTATCCTGTTTGAAAAACTCCATTATTTGATGATATTGAAACCAATTTTGTACTTTATGTTTCATTTTCTCATGACTTTGTAATTTCAGTTTATCTCCCTCTTGTTCCAAGATTTCCCAATACTTCGGCCATCCGACCTCCATATTGAGTTTCTTCACTGCCTTAGCCTCCACAGGAGACACCCATCTAGGGGTTTTGTTTTCCAACAGATCTTTGTATCTTATCCAAACATTAAACAATGCCTTTCTAACAATATGGTTTTTGAAGGCCCTATGCAGCTTAATTTTATCATACCATAGATATGCGTGCCAACCAAATGCATTATTGAAACCTTCCAAATCCAAAATGTCTGTGTTCTCGAGGAGCATCCACTCTTTCAGCCAGCAAAACGCTGCTGCTTCATAGTACAATTTTAAGTCCGGCAGGGCAAATCCCCCTCTTTCTTTAGCATCTGTCAATATTTTAAATTTAATTCTGGGTTTTTTGCCCTGCCAGACAAATTTCGAAATATCTTTCTGCCACCTCTTAAAACATTCCATCTTGTCAAGAATCTGCAAGGTTTGAAACAAAAATAACATTCTAGGCAGTACATTCATCTTAATTACTGCAATTCGGCCTAACATTGATAATTTCAACTTTGACCATATTTCTAGATCTTTTTTAATTTCTGACCAACATTTTTCATAATTATCCTTATACAAATTCAAATTTTTAGATGTCAAGTAAACCCCTAGATATTTCACCTTCTTAACCACCGTCAGCCCTGTCTCCTCTTGGAATTTCTCCTTCTCCATATCCGTTAAGTTTTTTCCTAAAACTTTAGTTTTTTGTTTATTCAACTTAAATCCAGCTACCTGGCCAAACTCTTGGATTATTTCTAACACCTTTTTCGTACTAGTTTTTGGCTCTTGCAATGTCAATACTAGGTCATCTGCAAATGCTCTTAACTTGTAATGTTTAGCTCCGACCTGTACACCTTTGACCTGCTGGTCATTTCTAATCATATTCAGCAACACCTCCAGAACCGAAATAAAAAGCAATGGGGAAATTGGGCACCCCTGTCGTGTTCCTTTTTCAATCTTAAGTTCCTCAGTTATTACATTATTTACAATCAACTTAGCTTTTTGTTCAGAGTATATTGCACCCATACCATTCTCAAAACCTTGGCCTACCCCCATCCGATGAAGATTCTTTTTCATAAAACTCCAAGAAATATTGTCAAAGGCTTTCTCCGCGTCCACAAAAATCAACACTGCTTTAGAGTTTATATCCACCTCTAACTTCTCCAAAATATCTATTATGTTCCTTACATTATCTGCTAGGTGCCTTTTTGGGAGAAAGCCTGCTTGGTTCTTATGAATCTTTTCCATCAACACTTTTTTAAGTCTTTTTGCCAAAATGTCTGCAAAAATTTTGTAATCCACATTAAGTAATGATATTGGGCGGTAGTTCTTCATTTGAGTCTTTTCAGTCTCTGTCTTTGGTATGAGTGAGATATATGCTTCTTTCCACGATTCAGGTGCCTTCTTTCCCTCTAAGATCTCGTTGCAAACTTCCTTTAACGGTTGAATCAACCACTCCTTCAAAGATTTGTAATATCTGGAAGTCAATCCATCTGGTCCTGGAGATTTGCCCAGTTGCATATTCTGAATGGCACCCTCTATCTCTTGTTCTGTTATTCTCTGGTTCAGATCCATCCTACTTTGATGAGAGATTTTTGTAATCCATATTTATCAAGGAATTTATCTATATCTTCTTCATTTTGTAGTCCTTGGGCATAGAGTTTTTTGAAATAACTCAAAAAGCAATTTCTAATCTCGTTGGGTTTAGATATATTCTTTCCCTCCACTTCTAGGCTTGTAACTGTATTCAGTTTCTGTCTTTTCTTCAATTGCCATGCCAGAAGTTTACCACATTTGTCTGCCGATTCAAATGTCCTTTGTCTCATTTGCTTTATCTTCCATTCAATCTCTTGGTTCATCAATTCCATATATTGTGTTTGGTATAACTTAATCTCTCTCAAAATCTCTTGGGACTTTGGTTTTACTCTTAATTTTTTCTCTCCTTCCTTTATCTTTTCCAAAAATTTTTCCTTTTTCTCATTCTGTTTCCTCCTCTTTATTGAGTTTTGTTGGATCAAAAAACCCCGCATCACAGCTTTGCTTGCATCCCAGATCACTCTTTTTTCCACATCGGCCCTTAGATTTATTTCAAAATAGTCCTTTAAAGTTTTTTGGGCCTTCATAAGGATCTCCTTATCTCGAAAGAGGGTGTCATTCATCCTCCATCTAAATTGACCAGTTGTTGTAAGTTTCATTTCCATTTTCACGGCGTTATGGTCGGAGCAGGTTTTTGGGCAGATTTCTACCTTCTTAATCTTCGGAGCCATCCCACTAGTAATCCAGATTTGATCGATTCTGGTCCAGGTCATCATTGCTTGGGAGAAAAAGGTTCCCTCTCTCTCAAGAGGGTTCCTTGTTCTCCATATGTCTATTAAGTCCATATTTTCCGTCATTTCAAAGAAAGATTTAGGGAGTCTCCCTTCCTTGGTAACTGTCAGTCTTTGTGCCTTGTCCATGTTAGTGGAGACCACACCATTCATGTCTCCCATAATTATCATATTGTAATCCAAATAGTCCGTCAGAGTTTCATGAAGTTTCTTGAAAAATTCTGCCTTACCTTCATTTGGTGCATAGATTCCAACTATCAGAAATTTTTGTCCTTGTACTTGTATCTCAACTGCCATATATCTTCCTTGTTCATCTTTAAACATCATTTTTGGGGCCCACTTCTCTTTTACGTAGATCACAACTCCTCTTTTTTTAACTTTGTCTGATGAGATAAATT